GGACACCCTGGGTCCCATCACGGTCCCCCCCTTGCTGTGGTGCCCAGCCCAACTGCCGGGCAGTCCCCATGACACCACCTTCTCTCACGGTGCCATCCCAGGGCCACCCACACACAGTCCCTTGTACTCGTCCCCTCTTGCTGCGAGGACCGTCGGCAACCCGTGCCCAGGTCACCACCCGCCTTGCTGTGGGGTCCTCAGCTGACCCAAGGGTGGGTTCTTGTTGTACTGTCCGCCTGGCTGCATGGTCCCCATTCCACCTACGTGGGAGTCCCCACAGCATGGTCTCACCTTGCTACGGGGTCCCCAGCTGATGCCTTGGGGGGAAACCCCAGGCCACCATCTCCTCTTCACTGCAGGGTCCCACAGTGACCCATGCAGGGGGTCTCCGGACCACCATCCTCCCTGCTGCAGGGTCCCTGGACTACCTGTGGCAGGGGACCCCAAGCCACCATCCCTCTGCTCTGAGGTCACACAGCCCCCAGTATGAGGTCACCATCCTCCTCAGTGTGGGGTCCCTGAGGCACAGCATGGGGCACTGAGGACCAGGTGCAGGAACAAGCCTGTGACACTGCTTTGCTGTGAAGAGGGGGCTCCTGCAGCGCTGCACGGCCAAGGAGCTGCCGGGGTGGGCATATTCCCCTGTGCCACCCTCCTACCTCTCTGCCTCCCAACTCAGGCACTCAAACCCACATCTTTGGGTACCAAAGATCTGTGGTTCCCCCCAGATCGCTTATCACCAGTGCCAGTCACTTTTTCTTCGCCTTTCGTGTTTTTATTTTTCACTCTCTGTAAAAAGGCTCCTGCAAAACAGGTGAGCTCTGGGCTGAGACATGAAGTCGCAGTCTCCAGGGCTATTGGGAGCACTGAAATATTCATCAAAAGCAAATTAAGAGACCGTCTCCAGAGCAGCTGGAGTCCAGAGTGCTGGAGAGCTCTGTGCGCAGCTGGAGTCGGCATCGTTTCAAGGAGGAAGCTTTTGCCTAGGAACAAAGCCCTTTCCTAAAATCAAAACCAAACATCACCTGCCTCAGAGCTGGGCAAGGAGAGGGGGAAAGGGTTTGGATCTGTTTGGCCTTTTTATCTGGTGATTTAGTGTAAATAGCGCATCTCCCCTGCAGACATGCTTTGTTGGCCTTGAGGGGCTTACCTCAGCTCATCTTAAAGTAATGTCTAATCAACAGAAGACAAACTCAAGTAATACCTGCTTTTATGAGCGATAGTTGTTCACCTTGGAGTTCAGCCAGCTTGACATCAACCTTTGGACTGAAACGGGTGCAGGATCTCCCCTCCCCACAGCCCTGGGACATGCCCGAGCACCCAGGCCCGGCGGGATGTCTGTCTCATGCTTCAGAGCGTGTCTCAGCCCAAACTTGCTCCAGAGCCGCTCATTTTGGGCAGAGTCAGCTCAGACGGGTTCAAGGGAGCACTGGGAGGAGACTCATAGCCACATTGCCCTCTGCCCAGAGGATGGACGGACCAGCACATGCCTCTCTCCCATCCACCCTGGGGAAGCCAGGTACCTTTGGTTGCCCCCTGCCCAGTTCTCTGCACCCCATTCTTAGGACACCCCAAGCCAGGCATGCAGTAGGAGGGACGTGCTGGAGGGCACGCTCCAGAGATGCACATGAAACAGGTGGCACTTCTCCCAGTGTCTAATTCCCAATGGGACTCTCAGCCACCCAGCCAGGACCCCCACCTCAGAGCAGCCCCAAACCCCATCATGGAGCAGTCGCAACTTGCAGCCACACATGGCCTTTTCCCTTGTCTCTCTCCCCAAATGCAAACCAATGACCGCAAGGCCATTACTGCACAGCAGCTCTTCCCAATCCCATGAACCAGGAGTCTGCGAGGAGTCTGATTCGTTCCTGTCCCACCCCAAGTCAGAAATTTTCCATTCAAACTGCTCCTGGTTCATATTTCCTACGATGAGAAACCACCCATCATTAGCAAGAGCAAGGGGGTCTAGGAAAAGCCATGGCTGTTGCTCCCATTCCCATCCCAGCCTCCCTCCTCTGTGGCTCTGCAAGACTATCTCATGCTTTTGGACAACTCTCCCATTGCCAAGGGGCTGCACGTTGGTGGGAGCCAGCCCCAACCCCTATGGAAATTGGTGGGACCTGGGCTGCTTGGGACAAAATGGACTTCAGCTGGCTGAAATCACGCAAGGAGGGAGGCACAGGCTGTACTGCAGGACATCCCCCGGAAAGGGGCTCACTTCTGGTGTGCTGTCTACCTAAAAGCATAAAAAAGAGCCACAAAACTGAAATCCAAGTGGGAAAGGGATGCTTAGAGCTGGTGCGTCTCACCTGGCCTCCTGGAGCTTGGCTGCAGCCATACAGCATCATCGTGAGCTGGCTTCCACACTGGGATGGGCTGCATCCAGGCAGCTCGTACCCATCTGCCCCACTTTCCTCAGAGGAATGGGGAGGGTGGAGCAGGGAGTGGGGCTGGAGCCAAAACCAGGCTAGTTCAAGAGAAAGAGGTCACCCACAAGGAAGTTTCATTATGGAAACAACGCGTCAGATGAAGCAGCGGTTCTCCGACAGCAATGGGATCTGACCAAGCCACCGAAGCTTTATCCTGCCTGCTGCAAGGTCCTGGGCTGTCTGCTGGTTTGTGTCACACAGAAGACCTGCCCAGTTGAAATGGGTCTCCTCCAAGCTTTCATCCTTAACTCACAAGATCCTGCTAGATAATAACAAAAGTCTGGGTGTTATTTCATTAACAAAAGAGCCCTGCTCTACCCTACGCGGTCACTGCAAGTTTACACCTCTCCCCTGCGATCTTGCCTCATGCTCTAACATTGCTTTGGTAATTAGCTTCAGAATTACCATATTTAAATCCAGCACCATGGTTATTCAGCTGCTGCCCCAGCAGCTCCGGCTGCGCCACCTCCCAGCAATTCCTCGGCCAAAACAGGGGTTACCCCTAATTAGTCTCCGAGGTTCGCAGGATGCAGCAGGAAGCTCTTATCCTCCCACCAGCACACGGAAAATCTTCCTTGGCCTTTTGTGTTTCCCTGGCTTGCCTAATGGATGCCCCATCACTGGAAGTGTTGAAGGTCAGGTTGGATGGGGCTTTGAGCAACCTGATCTAGTGGGAGATGTCCCTGCCCATGGCAGGGGCGTTGGACTAGATGATCTTTAAATGTCTTTTCCAACCTAAACCATTCTATTCTATAATTTTACCATGCGGCAAGCTGGAAGCGCAGATGCACCTGGATGTGGGGTAGTTGTGATTCATTCCCCGCCTTGAGCCGGTGCAGGTGGAGTGGGACATGCAGGAAACATCAACATGAGGTTTCTTCTTGCCAAACCTTGGCGTCTCACAGAAGATGAAAGAGGTGATGCTGTTTGCAGGGCAGATGTGGGATTAGCTGGCACTGAGAAGGAGCTTCAGTGCTTCATCCCTGGCTCCACATGCGAGATCAGCCAGGGCATCCTGTATCATGGGGTGAGGAAACAGAACCAGGACTGGAGTCGCTCATGGGAACGGAATTTTGGAGTTGGGAAGGCCCTGGGAACATGCTGGGACTCACCCAGCTGGGAGAGGGGTCAGGCATTTCCACGGGACACGGCTGGTCACACGAGCACAAGGTGATGTATTTCAATGTGCAGCGGGAAAAAATGCCCTCCTCCCAGAAGGGTGTCCCCAAGGATTCAGCTTTTCTCCAGACTTTCCCAAAGGAAAAGGGCATGTTCCCATTCCAGGTCCCACCCAGGAGAAAGGAGGAGGGAGAAGAGGGAGTGAAAAATCCGTGATATCCTACTGCTTCTCGACATATCTCTTTTGGGGGAAATGTGGGAATTCCTGACTGGGTCTCCCTTAATCCCATTTTTCAACATTTTAATTTGGAGCAGTGCGATCCCCTTTGCCTCACAGAAATCCCAAAGGAAAAGCCAGCTGGGGGGGGGGGGGGGGGGAGAAGTGTGTCTTTGAAACCACCCACTGGAAAGCTCTGCTCATTTTTAATCTCAGCTTAAGTGCATTAAAGATGGTTAAGCCTTTTCTCACCAAAATCCCCTTTTGACGAGCCCTTTGTGTGAGGGAGGAGGGGGAGGGAACCTGTGCACCCCCTTCCCCTGCACCGCTGCCTGCTGTCTGCAGGCACCCGACCGCCTGGGCTTGCACCAGCACCCCCGTGCAAGTGACGGGTGGTGGTGCCGGTGTCCCCCGGCTGCTGCTGCAGGTCCCGGTGCCGGTGACCCCGGACTCCATTTCCCGAGGAGCCGAGCGGCGGCGCCCGGTGATGGCGGCGGGGCGGCAGGAAGCGGGGCCGAACGCAGCCGAGCCGAGCCGAACCCCGCCGGACTGAGCCGAATCC